GCACTTGTTCCTAGTAGCTTCTTGTTCCTAGTAGTAAGGCCAGGAGCGCCCCTAATAGCGTCCTTGCTCCCAGTAGCGTTGCCCTTTGTTCCTAGCTTCTTGTTCTGTCTGCTTGCCCTGTGTGCCCTCCCTGGTATTAGGATGTTTTCAAGGCTTCAAGTCATCTTTTCTGGCATCTCTTCCAACGACAAGTCTTCAATCTGGCAAAGCCACCCCGCGGCCTAGCATCTAGAGCTGCCACCACCCGCTCGTAGAGCGTGAGACTCGGGATGGACAAAGCACTACCAAAATAAATAGAAACATACAACACATAAACGAAGGAGACATGGAGAAAATGCCTTTTATTTTGCTTTATGCCTTTTCAATCTTCAGCCAAAGAGGGGGATGCATGAGGCATGGGGGGAAAGACCGGCTCAGGTGCCAAACGACACCAGCTTCTGTGTTTGTCGTCTCGCAGCAGCCTCGAGACGGAACGGTTCGGACATGCCTGGACTCTCTCAGAGGAACCAAGCTAAATTACACTCCAAATTTCTTCAGTTTTTTTCACAAAACTCCTGAACTCCTGACCACGAAGCTCGTTTCTTTTTGAATTCAAGTTCCGGACTTTGGGCGCTGGCAGCCTCTCGGAGAGTGCACGCACCTTGAGGAAGTTGGACGTGGACACAAGGACCGAAGCGATGACCCGACTCTGTCTGAGCTGCGTCGCCAAACGGAGCCAGCTGCGTTTCACCGAACCATGGCTCATCAAGAGCTTCGGCCTCGCACTGTTCGGCTAGAGGCGGCTAGAGGAACAGCTGAAACCATGTTCTTGGGCAACAAGAAAGACCTGGACAGGGTGACCAAATGGTGGATGTTTGCAAACACCTAAATATGTGGAAATGTTCAAATGGTTGATGCCAGCACAATGAATGGACGATCAGCTCAACCATACCCAAACACCGAATGTTAGCGTCCCATGGGTGTTTTCTCATCGCTCTTGAGTTTCATCACCTCAGCTCCCGTTTCTGTAGCAACCCGCAGCCCGCAGCCCCGTCCTGGACACGCATTGCAGCAACGGCTGAAGCCTCGAGCATGGACGGCTGAAGGTTGAGATCAAACAAACATCTTTCCCAAAGTAGCGATGCCAGGAGCCCCTAGTAGCTTCTTGCTCCTAGTAGCGATGCCAGGAGCCCCTAGTAGCTTCTTGCCCCTAGCATGAAAGAAACTGCACATCTAGAACTGACATGGAGGCTCCATCGTGAGAAAAGTCGCAGCCATGACACTGTGCCATTAGGACTTCGCCCGAGCCTGCAATAAAATCCAACAAAGCATTTGTGCTGCTGCTTCAATCGGGAAGGCATCATCTTGTGACGTCAAGAACCTTGCTGACTGAATGGTAATGTCTGTCCGAACCTGTTCAGCTATTGTCCCCACTTTCCTATGTCAGCTTCTCTGACTCTAGTAATCTCTAGTTTACCGCAGAAGGAAACAGCAATAACCAAATAACACAAAGCTTGGCTTAACTTTAGATACCTCTTTTGATACATCCCACGCATGGAATTTCCATCAATTTCCTCCATCCCTCCGGCCATCTTATTCCAGGCCTTCTGAGGCCGCCCTCAAAATGAGCTTGCTGGCTGCAAGCAGCAGCGGTGATGCTTCCCTTTGGTGCAAGTGAGATTCACATTTTGTTCTTTTCTTTTTCAGGCTCTATCGTAAGAGTAGGTGGTTAGTAAGATGGCGTTGAGCGTTTGAACTGATACTGATGGCAAATCAGACCTGCTCCAGTCCTGTGTGGGGAAGTGAACAAAAAATACGCGCATTTCTACAGCATGCTGAGGCAAGGTCATGGGCAAGGGGAGAAACCTCCCCCGGCAGTGTTGTGAGCAAAAGCACCACTTTGCCTCGCAAAACTGCGCTTTGTACAGCATGCCCTCGACTTTTTACTCATCCAGATCAACCAAACCGATCCCTCATTTTTTTGCACTTGCTTGCTCTCTCTTCTGAAAGTAGCAATGGCTCCAACCTAGTAGCGATGGCCGCCAACCTAGTAGCACCTAGTAGCAATGAAAAAATGCTCTTTAGACCTTTCTTCTTCATTTCCTTTAGACATTTCTTATTTCTTCAAGACCTTTTTTCTTCAGACCCTTCTTCCCTTTTGTTTTCTGCATAACATGTACTTTTTTGTGCTTTTCCTTTTTGTAGGATTTCCAGTGGGCCTCTAATGTTGGCAAATCTGCAATCGAAAGTTATAGTGGTGACTTGGAAGGAAAAGTGCGTTGAGGTGAGCCAGAACTGTCGTCTTGGTCCGCATTAAAGCGGCCAAAGCGGCGTTGGCTTGGACCAGGTAAAATGAGCTGATGTAAAAGTTGGAGCAAAGACCCAAGGAAGCATACCGCCATTCGCGTCAGGAGTGCTACCCAAAAAAGGCAGGATTACCAAGTTGCCTTCGTTCAACTGGCAAATCTGCACGGGTAGATGAAGCCCAGGTATCTACGCAACATGTCGGTTCAGAATGCCTGTCGTGGCAGATCGAGTCTTTGAGCAGCTGCTATGGCTCACCGGTGAGTTTCGGTGAGTCTGGGTGAGCGCTGGTACTCGCATGGGGATTGCCTCGTACGGAACGTTGCGGCTTGGCTTTTCGCAAGCTGCACTTGGATAGTAGCAGTGCCAGGATGTGCCAGGTGTGGTGTACAGTTTCAGCATGACCATGCTTTTGCTCCGTTTTCTTGAGACACGGCTTTTTGCTGGATTGGACTTTCCAATCGATTTTGACAGCCAGCTCAGCCCTGAGATCCGGAAATTCGATGCCGTTGGAATGAAACGGGACTCGCGTGGCCTCATCCGATTCCTCAGCCACATCTTCCAGGACAAACAACCTGAAGAAGCTGTTTCTCTTCCCAGGCACTCGGGCAGAAAGGAAGAATTAGTAAGACTGATTGGTTGGCCATTGATGTATTCACCCTACTTTAAAAGCTTCTTGTTCCTCGTAGTAAGGTCAGGAGCCCCTGGTAGCGTCCTTGCTCCTAGTAGCAAAAGCGCCATATTCTGCAAACGAGTTGCCCCAGTGACCTTGTTGGACTGGCAGGTCCAGCAATACCGCTGGGCATACCTTGCTTCACCCAATTCAATGAGTGAACGAGCTCATCTGTCCGTTGTCACAAGGCCTACAAACTGAAAACCAAGACCACCTTAGTAGCGCGTAGGCGGGGGTGTGAAATGGTACGCGAACTCGGACCATGATCAAAAACGCCATGGAAAGAACCTGTCATGAATATGCTACTAGGAAAAAGTGCATCGCTTCTAGCAACAAGTGCCTTACTAGTAGTAACAAGAAGCTACTAGTAGAAACAATTTAATTAGAATCTAAAGAAAGGATGGTCGAAAGGTCTGAAGAAAAGCAAATAGAAGACAAAGCAAGAAATGCAACAGTAGCACTGGTAGCAAAGCTCCCGAAAAATGAGCTTAAAATAGCTTAAAGGCTACCAACCATAGACCTCCACCCTCTCAAGTCGCAAAGTGCAGCTCCGCCTTCGCCTGGAAGCCCTTGCGACTTGGTCGCAAAGTCCAGCCATCGGAAGACTGCATCAGCCCCGTCGGTGTGGCGAACAACGTTCAGCAGCTCATCTCGACCTCAAGCTTGAGCTGATTTGGGGTATTTTACGGTATTCAAGTCACATTAAGACATTGTATGGCCATTGAAACCACTGTTGTACAACCGAGTCGATGGAGATGAAATAAAGAATAAACAGAAGTAGTAACAAGTGCATCGCTACTGGTAGCTTCTTGCTAATAGTAATGCCCTTGTTACTAGTAGTGATGCGCTTGTTACTAGTAAGATAGGTTTTGCGATTTGCTGTTGCCTTACGCGGCCAAACGTATGAGCTCCGTCGATCTTCCCGTACGACGTATGTGCCGGGATGCGGATGGTGTTCGCGGCCAAGCTGAGGTCTACAAGCAGGGTACCACAGGGGCGCCCACATTCAGCACCTGGCATCTTCGCAAAAAAGCTCCAACATATGGACATTCGAGAGACAAGTGATGTCACATGCCCCCAAAAACGGATGTCACACCTGAGGCTGCAAAGAGTTCGGTGCTCTCATTCAAAGAACACATGATGTTTCTCAGAGATTAGGATATGTACTCCAAGGTCTGCGCAAAAAAGGGGCTGCTGTCCGGTGTAATCTTCATCGCTCCTCTCAGCCTGTCAATTTTGTGGTCAAAGGATTGACACTCTACCAAAGGTTCTTGCGGCAACTTGTACGTGTGGCCCAGCAATGTCAAAACGCTCATCATCGCGCAATCTTTTTGAACTGAGAAGATTGTCGACTGCATACGCAGTCTGGGGTCCTCCCGAATGGGAATAAGTGGCCAGGTCCGGAGTCATATGGAGTTGATATCACCCCAAAACTACGAGTAAGTTGCACAGAAAAGCAATTACAACTGGAGATTCGTGAGTTGTGGCGATTTGTGTTGATGTGTTTTCAGTAAGAAACTATCACGTGGCCTCCAACTAACTCCTTGTGCTGGCCACGCAAATCAGCGAAAGCCAGCTGCAACGGCATAGCCGCATTTTCAGACATCAAAAACATACCAGTACATGAACCAAGGTGAAAATGGCCAGTGTATGAACCAATGTAAAACCAACTACCCATGGCCCTGACAGCAAAACCCATGCACACCGATTTTTTCCGGGTCCAAAAGGATGTAGAGCCCAATGGACTTGATCAGCTCTACAAACGGATTGAAGGAGCAACTGCTTTTTGCCTTTAATTCCACTAATGGCCTGGAGGCCATCGCTACTAGGATGGAGGCCATCACTATAGAAACAAAGAAAAAAAGCACAGAACATATGGTCTTACAGAGTTTGCAGTTTGCTAATGGCCCTTTGTGCCCGGATGAGTCCACAAACGCATTGTAGAAAATTGCTTTTATTTGGCTCTCGTGGTGTGTGCAGCTTAAATTTCCATAAATTTTCGAATCTTGCTCTCGTGTTTTACTCACTTGGGGTGCAATTGCTCTCTTCTGACGATGGCGATGGATGGTTCTTTCTTTGCTCTCCGGAGCACACATTTTGAGCTCGCGCAGACCATCTGTGAACTCAGCTTTGCTTGGGCCTTCAACCAGATTCCAGAGAAAAACATCTGCAAAAAATGTCTAGAAGAATTATGGCTGATGGCTATCTTTGCGGACATCTTGGGTCTCGTCGTGGCTGATCTCCCAATCTTGAGGACTTGGCCGGACTTGGCCGTGAATTCCGGCGAGAGGAGGGCATACATACATAAATAACATACTAGTGATGGCCTCCAACCTAGTAGCCATGGTCTCCAACCTACACTATAATGATCTATAATGTATACTATATAATATCTGTATGTCTTAGCAAGAACATGACTGGCCCCGAAGAAGAACCTGGTGCAAGCGGAGGCGCCACGTGAACATGTGTTGGTTTGTTGTTCTTTTTGTTGGTTTGCCGGTTTTCGAAAGTCTAAGGCATACCTCCACTAGGCATGATCCACTTCATGTCTGAACATCGTTTTTGGGAAGGTCCGTGCCAGTGACCTCAACTCCTGAATCACCTCCTCTCGGCTGCTTCCGATTCTCGATGTCTCTGAGAGACGTCTCTGCATGGAAAACAAACGAAAACGAACGCGCTCGGCAAATTGAGCACATCATGGACTACTTCTTGCCCAGCTCATCGTCATCACCTTCAAAAAAGGCGTACTACCAGGAACAAGAAGCTACTAGGAACAAAGGGCATCGCTACTAGGGGCGCTCCTGGCCTTACTACTAGGAACAAGAAGCCACTAGGAACAAGTGCATCGCTACTAGTAACAAGTGCCTTACTAGTAGTAACAAGAAGCTACTAGGGGCTCCTGGCCTTACTACTAGGAACAA